TGCACGTCTAGCTTTTGCTCAAGCTCACATCGCCCGACCTTAATCCAATAGAGAACCTCTGGGGCACCTTGTTTCGTGAAGTTTACAAGAATCGACGCTAATATTCAAACATCGCCGATCTCAAAGTTGCTATCCGCCTCGCCTGGAACAATTTGGACCTCATTGTCTTACAAAATCTCGTTACCTCGATGTCAAATCGCATTTTTTAAGTGATCAATCACTCCGGCAAAATTACCGATTCTTGATAGTGCTTTCTTTTTGTTTGGGATTCGTAGCCTTTGTGCCGGCCCCAATATTATTTTTATTCTTTAATTTGTTGATTTCTTAATAAAATGGTTACTTTTTCCGATTTTTACATCCGCTGAAGATCGCTGAAGATTTTTTTGCGAAATTTGACTTAAAATTTTGCAGAATGAATTTTTTCTAAAAACTGCTATTACCATTTAGTCGACCTAAGTTTTTTTCTTGGAAACAAGCCAAAAATGAACTTTATATCTCAAAAATGAAAGCTTTTCAAGCGATTTTACGAAGGGAACCCGAATCTCAAAAGCAAAAAAAGCGACCTTTAAACATTCTCATCAAAAAGTTTTTTAGAGTTGTAACTTTTGCGCAAGTAAAGTTTAGTAAGGGTAAAAATATCTGAATAATCAAAAACATTCACCACAAAGGTCCATAACTCGGTTTGATGCCAAATTGCTCATGATCGAAGCGCTTGTTCAGGCTCTCCTCGATCATTTTACTGAACTTGCTTGCAGAGATTATTTTCAACATGACATTGTTCGTGAATCTGAAAAAGTGAAATAAGCTTATGATTTAAAGTTTTAATATGCTTCGTACAAACTAGTTATAGCAAACAAGAAGATCAACTTGACTCACCTGTTCGTCAACACGTAGTCGTAGGGAACCCCGTGATCGCCCATTCGATTAAAAATCCAAGCACCGCCGCGACGAGACACCAAGTAGACCTGCAAAAAGGACAATACTTTTGAACAAGCTTCTGGAAAACTTAAAAACTTGCTTGAACTCCTTGAAAACTTTAACAAGCCTTTTTGGTGACTCTCGCCAATTCGCTGGCCACATCGGCTCCCGAATTTCCGACTCCGATCACCACAACCGTCTTCTCATCATATCCTCAAAACGAAAAAGATTTTGAAGCTTCTTGTTTGATTAACTTGGTAGATTAACAGCTTTCCTTTGCCAACCTGTTGGACTGCGATAGTCATGTGAATGTGAGATCTTTCCAGTGAAAGTCTCCTGTCCAGCGAACGGTGGAGGGTAATATGGGCGAGCCTGATGACCTGTGGCCACTAACACTCCATCGAAAACTTCTTGATGATTGACCCCGGACCTTTAATTAGAATAATCTTTGAAAACCCATTTGAACACTAACTGATCAATAAAAGAGACGGTCCATTGTCCGGTTTCCGAATGATTCTTGGTGCGCTCGATGTTTAACACCTAAAAGGCTTTGCAAACCTGAACTACATTGTAGGTTTTACCCAATGAAATTATTTATTGCTTCTCTAATTTCTAGTCTTTTTTCCTACTTTGTGTCGAAGTTTGATGTTTCTCCAGAGATCGTGATGAGTACAGTAATCCTCGAGGTAGCGATGAAGAGCCGAATGGTGCATGAAATTGGGGAGATTCTGAAAAGGAAGTATTAAATTCGTGCAAAAAAACTCAAGAAACACAGTTAGAATTCTATCTAAGTGAGGTTTAAAGGAACTGGCGCGAAAACCGCGCGGCGCGCTTTCTAAAGTGTGGATACGCTACCGTACCCCGCACAAAAATTCCCCTTTTGCCATTTTTTTTATTTTCCTCCATTCCATGATAGAATCGGAACCTTTCTCCGGTTTTTTTGTAAGCCTACTCCCGCATAAGTTTTCTTCCCCCTTCCCTAAAATCAATCCTCCTTTTTGTAGCGAGTTTAAGGTTACCTGTCTCCCCACATTTCCCCATTTCCCTCCCATTATATTGTTCCGCTCATGTTTCGTGTTTAAATTTCTAAAATGGTTTTGTTTCGTTTCTCTCAGCTCCTTTCTACTTCATTGTCTTCAAATCTTTTTGTATGTCCCGCATAAAATTAGGTCAACCAATTCTCGTTCAACTAAAACGCACAAAATCTACCAAATCAAACACGATCTTCTGGGTTTTCGTGTCTAATTATTTTAGAAAAAGGTATCGAGTAAAGTTGAATAGTTATTAACTATGCCTTAAAAACTTGAAAGATTTTTAGATACTACGACAGTTGGGGGGCAATTTTCTTTCTTCAAAAGTGCTTTTCCTAGGGCAGTTTTTTCCGTAGATTACGAATTTCATAGTGGGAGCTTGGGAAAATGCGTTTTAGACCGAATTTTCGAGGATTGAAGTAGAATTGCAATCAGAACTTTGAATTATCTCAAGAAAAGTCTTTTTGGACAGGAAAAGGCTCATAAAACTCCTTTTGAGCTCGTCTTATAGGAACACTACAGTGAAGTACACTATAGAGGCGGCGACTTCGGGTCCCCCGAAAGTCGGTCTAAAACGCATTTTCCCAAGTTCTCACTATGAAATTCGTAATCTACACAAAGAACCGGCCTAGAAAAAGCACTTTTGAAGAAAAAAGAAATTTTTTCACCATTGAATTCAGCACATTTTTCTGCGTTGAATGGCTATTCAAACATGGAAAACGGATAGAAAACGATTTTTCGCCTTATTTCGCGCGGATGTGCCCCCCCCCCCTCAAACTGTCGTTGTACCGATTTTTAACTTTTTTGGAAAGACCAGAGCAAGTCTAGAGGAAAATAAATTTTCCGGATTTGACCATGAGGCTTCATGCAATCCCTTTGCAAAGCAGAGAACTGCGCAAGAGCAAAAGTTTCGAAAACCTACTTCATCTGGAGGAAAATCCGAGTAGGCGAGCATCTCTTTTGAGCTGTTGATCACCGTGCCTCGCATCACGTTTGACACTGAAACGAGTTTTGATTGAATTTGAATTGTTCTTCGGTTTTTTGGCTTCTTCCATTTAAGACCTAGGATCCTAGTGGAAAGAGAAAGAGGAAGTTGAAATAGTAGCATGCGTTTTGGCAATGTCATTTTCAAAAAGTCTCCCAAAACTTACGTTCAGTAGGATTCGGCTTGTAATGCCACAGACCACCGACTCCATCCGATCCCTCGAAACACGTCACTTCCATTTGGTACTCTTTAGCCCATCTGAATTAAAGAGTTTGATACAAAAAGATTCTATAAAGATCATCTTGTAAAGCTAAGCTACAGTATTGATCTGACAACTCTTCTCTGTAGAAAAAACGACCTGACACAAGGCAGCCCCGATCCACCGGCTCCAACAACGCAAATGTGCTTCTTTGAAGGATTCGGTCCAATCGAATCTTCAAATGAAAAGAGCTGCTTATTCTAATTTTCCAAACTTACTTGATGGCATTTCGTAAATGAGATCCCGAAATGAGGCAGTTCTCTTAAAAATCAAATCTACGGTATATAAAGCAGAAGAGACGTCTGTCTGTCTGTCTGTCTGTCACTGTCAAGTTTCTTGACGCCTAGATCGAATTTCGAGATGCAGTTCTTTTTGTTTAGTAGGAAATTTTATGTTGATTCCGTCCTCAAAAAAATCAAGAAAATCCATCGAACCGAATTTTTTAAAAACTCCAAAAACTGCAAAACTAGCCGAGCCCAATGTTGTCTAACTTCCCCTCCGCGCAGATGGCCGAGTGGTTAGAGCGTGCGTCTCTCAAACGAGAGTGGGAAAGAGGGGTCGTGGGTCCAGTCCCCTCCGAGAAAATTAGTTTTGCTTTTCTTTTCAAAATGGATTTGAACTGTTGGAAAGTCAATTTCGATAGCTTTCTACTATATATAAAAGCGAAGAGACGTCCGTCTGTCCAAATAACATTATGCGCAACATTGCTAACAATGAAGTTCTCGAATAAACTATGGAAAAATTAACCCAATAGCCCATTTTAGGGCTCCATAGACCCCAGCCAAAGATCTTTGATTTGGGTCATGGATTTGGTGTTTCTAGACGTTGGCGCAGTTCTCCCTGAAGATTTCCATATTTTGGATGAGCCATAAGAATGGGTTTAAAACAACTTGGATAAATGAAATAAATGAATCCCCGATTACGTTCAGTCCAAACTGTCTAGCAGGAAAGGCGGCTTTAGTCGAAAAGACTTCTGCTTACGAAGACAATATCGATTATCGACAATGATTATCGATTGGCACGACAACAAAGATTATAAATTGCCGTTAGACCTCAACACGCAACAGTTTACCAATAAATCAAATGAAAAACTCAAAGTCAAAGTTCAAAGTTTCTTAGTTTTAAGTAAATAAATTCAATGCGACTGGGAAATGGCTGAGACACCCAATTAAACGGGCAATTATGGCTAACACGATTTTTCAACTTAATAAGAGAGAAAATCGTAAAGAGCAAAAAGCTGGAACTCGAAAAATATGAGCTTTGAAGCCGGAAATCGTTCTTGCAAGATATATGACTGCAAAAATACACGCAAATGAGATTTTAGGGCGTCTCATGAGTGTATTTTTGGAGTTTTTCCGTGGCAAAATATCGGCAAATTGCCGGGTTAACGGGGTGCAATTTCGGAGGGTATTTTGTTTTTGTCGAATTTTTTGTCGAACGGCTCATTTTCCGAAAAATGTTCCAACTAATCAGTTTTCCCTCCGAAGGGGAATCATTTCCGGCTGCTTTTGAATTGGTACTTTGAATGTAGCGAGAAGTAGTTGCCCAAATAGAGTGAATTTTGAGTGACTTAAAACGTTCAACTTTTTCCACAAACTTCTGTTCTGTTTCATTGGTTTTGTACCAATGAAACAGAACAGAAGTTGCCAATTGCAGGCAAAATTACCAGTTGCCAATTGCCACGTAAAGCCCATTTCTAGTGTTTATACCGTTCTTCACTTCCTAAAGAGCATTTCTCAAGGAATCCTGCCGTAATTGTTTCCATTTTGGCCGATTTTTCCAGCTTAGACTGGCTGTGTTCGACACAATGGCTTTCAGCGCTGATAATGGGACTTTATTTCAGGTACTTTAGTAAGTGTTTGTATAGAAAAACGGTTTTTAGCTTTACGATATATTCCATCCGGGAATGCTAGACCTTTACTCGAATCAGTGCTTGTCGAACCCATCATTGAGCCTTCTCCAACCGAATCTAATGAAAGGTTTCGCAAATAGTGAACAGATAATAGCCAATATCTATTGCAAAAATGAAAGCATGTGAACAGAAACAACAAATCCTAGGAATCATCTACGAGATCATCGGCGTCACCTACGAGATCCTATATTTGCTCTGCATGATCGCCATGTGCCAACCAAAATTTCTGAACATCATCGCCTATCGGATTCTGTAAGTGCTTCAGTTTTGTAAGTGCTTCAAAGCAAATGCTTACATTTCAGCTTTGTAATTGGATGCTTTGACATATTAGGAATGATTCCGAACTCATTATTGCCAGGTGAGACAATTTGAGGATTTGAGTTCACTTTTCAATATTTACATACCTCTTTTGCTCAGGTTATTTGCTGATCACAGGGAAGTCCTTCTGTTCAAGTTCTCTACTCAATTTCTACGTCGGATCGTTGGCTTTTCGTGAGTGCGCTTTAGGCAAATAAAAAAAAACACAAGTCAAATTAACTTGTCTAGGTAATCAAGGCCAATTCATTAATCGAATCGCAAAAGTGACTAAGCCGGACACACCAAAGTCTCTTTTTCTTTCCCTCCCGCTCTTCTTTCCTTTAAATATCCCTCATCCTCTTCCCACTCACTGGAGATCCTAAGCAATCCTAGGATCCTGGAGATCCTAAGCAATCCTAGGATCCTGGAGATCCTAAGCAATCCTAGGATCCTGGAGATCCTAAGCAATCCTAGGATCCTGGAGATCCTAAGCAATCCTAGGATCCTGGAGATCCTAAGCAATCCTAGGATCCTGGAGATCCTAGGAGGCGAACTCGTCCGGCAAAGTCGGCAAAGTCGAACTTTGCCAAATCAAGCGATGTCCGTCCTGGATAGTCACGAGTTCGAGTTCCCCAAGCTCCATATAGTTTGCTTTTTTTGCCATAGCAACTGATCGAAGCAAAGCAACTGAAGCATTCGAAGGAACTGGTCAGTTGCTTCGAAAGTTTTATAATAAACATCAACCGCTTCTGGGTCGTCGACGTCAATTGGTGTGTCTCTGTCAACGCTGTCGTAAGAAAAACATTAACCGTGCAGCTTGTAAGGCTGAAAATCCCACAACCAAAAGCTTCACAGGCTTCACAGCACTTTCGGTTATCAATGAAGATCTTAGGGGGTTGTTAAGAGTGACTCTAGCTTTTGAAAACTTTCCTTCAACTGCAACAGAAGATGGCGGAATTGAGCGTTTTAGAAGTCTCAATGAAAATCTATGAAGTTGTCTCGTTAATTCTCGTTATCTCGTTAACCATGTCTAGAGAGGACCATTTGAGCAATACTAAAATGATTTAATCAATGATTTAATCCAGTCTCGTTAAGCCTCCTTAAGGCCTCGTTTATTGTTTATCGTTAAGGCCTCGTTATCGTTTATCGTTATTGTTAAGGTCTCGTTATCCTTTATCGTTAACGTTAAGACCTCGTTATCCTTTATCGTTATCGTTAAAGCCTTGTTAGCCATGTCTATTCCAAATTATTTTTTAAAATTAAACAACCATTTCAGCTACGTGGGCCGTCTACAGTGGGTTGAGCATTTCATTGGCCATCAATCGAACAATCGACTTTTCTTGGCCAAATAAGCAAGAGGTTTGAAGAGGATTTTCTTCTAGGCAAATATCTTTCTTTCAGGCTTTATTCGGCGGAAGGTTGATCATCTTATGGACGGGTATTCCCATACTCTACGGCCTTCTTCTTTATTCTTTCCTCTCTCCAATGCTCTATCACTCGCCCACAGCCAGCTACTATTTTGGAGCCGATCCCGCAAAAGCACAAGTAAATATTGTTTAAAATGTAGCTGAAAGTTATGGAGATATTAAGTTGCTTTCAAGAACAAGCAAGTTAATCGTTTAGACAAACGTTTGTGAGCTAGTAAAAATGAATTCAGCATATGGTAGTCTTTTTGAATGAAACCTAACCATTACAGATTGAGTTTCTAACTCTGAAACTGAAAAGAGCAAGAAGATTTTGATTACATCCATTGTACATTGTGACAGTAGAGCTAAGAAGCGGTAAATGAGTTGGAAAAATAGCCAACAGAACTTTTACAAATAAAAGTCGATGAGGAAGATCGACGAAACGAGATACTCGACGAGTACAATGAGCATTGGTGGATGAATAAGGAATGGCTAGAGAAAAAGAGTGGGCTCGTCTCAAGAGATATGCACGAGTTGAGCGAGAGACAGTGCCAATACCTGAATGTACTTGAAAATGTCACGAGAGGATACGCGATAATTCTGTGGGAGAGAAAGGGGAACGGCAAGGAGGAAAGGCAAGGAAGAAAGACAAGGAAGAAAGGCAAGGAAGAAAGGCAAGGAAGGAAAGGCTTTATCTCGTTTGTTTTTCCTTATGTTAGACAAGAGATTCACCTATTTTTCGAGTTGCCTATGAAATGAAACTCTTTTATTACTGAATCTTTTATCATACAGTGAAACTACAATTGCTACACGACAAAACTAACTTTCACAGGCTCCCATAATCTATCCGATGAACAACGGTGTCATGGCATTCATCATTCTTCTATTGAACATTCAAATGCTTCGAATGATGTTGATCAAAAATCATACAGTGATGACCAAATCGCAAAGAGTGGTGAGTTGGCATAACTTCTTTGAACTAAATCAAGAAAATACACTTCTTCAGATCATGATTCAATGTCTTGGGATCAGCATGTCCGTTCTGATCACCGGCTGGTTGTATGTAACCATGCAATTCATCGCGATGCCCCTCTTCATGATCAACGTCGCAAATCTTTGCTGGCAATTCTCAAACGGTAAACTACCTTTTTAGAAAAAGCCATAATTTAAGAAAGAAATGTAAGAAAGTATGGCCATTTCCAGGAAGTATGGCCATTTTCTACCTTCTCGTGAACAAATCGATGCGCGGAGAGGTGCTGAAATTGTTGAGGATTCCGTTCAACCGACAAAGGGTCCTTCCGTCGCTCAGCGATTCAAGAATTTTGTACACACTTCATTCACAAAGTCAGCCGACTGTTTAGACCATTTGGAGAGATCAATAGACCCAGTTCAGAATTGATTTTTGTCACAGAGTTAACTAGGGTTATTTTCTGTATTGTGCCCTTCCCATTTTGGCGAATTATTCGGAGAGCTCCCGGAAAATCTTCCATTTCATGCATTTTCCCAAATTTTTTTGTGTTCACACAATAAACATGTTTTTCTAAAGGTTCGTCGGTAATTGTGAGGTTTGAAAGGCAATTTTTTTTTTCAAAATCACTTTTACTGACGTAATTTTATGCGTAGGTTCCGAATAACACAACGAGAAGTTGGAAAAATGCGTTTTAAGCCGAGTTTCGGGGTCCAAAGTGCGCGCTCTTCTAGTGTTTTTGATGTGTGATGCCCAAGTAATCAGCTACTCCAGCACATTTTTTTACAAACTAAACGGCGACCTCGGCGATCTCAGCGACGACGGCGACCATTTCTTCTTCTTGTTGCGTTGGTGGCGGCTCTTCGAAGACGACCTCTTCTTGCGGTGGCGGCTCTTTGACGGTGATAATGGCTGCTTCTTCCTCTTCTGATTCGGGGACGACTTCTGGTGGCGGCTGATGGCGGGCTTTCTTGCAGGCGTTGACGTGAAAAGTGAAGTCTCTATTTGCTTTGAAGCGTTGGCAACAGCAGGTGCAGATGATCACCGTCTTGGCGAGATGGATCCGGATGTGAGCTTGAAGGTTCTTCAGTGTCGAGTAGACGCTGGCTGGCTGTGTGCAGAGGCGGCAGCAAAGGTCGGGATCCACCTCTGGATTGTTGGTTGCTTTGATGTCGTTGAAGCGCAACAGCAAGTCGTCCTAATTACACAGGCGCTTCAGGTGGAGTTCTTCTTCTCCTCGGCGAACGTCTTCTTGCATTGGCGGCAGCAGTGGGTGAGTGTTCGGTTCCATCCGTGCTTCAGCTTGATGTGCTTCTTGAGGTCTGCGTCGCGTTGGTAGAGCCCTTCGCACCATCGGCATTTGAGGCGGTCGTCGAGCGGCAAGTCCAGCATGTAGTCGTCTTCCCTCTTTTTCTTCGCTGGGCCATCAGCTTTCTTCCCGTCAGTGGTGGAGGGTCGGTGTAGGCGGGAGCTTCGGAAGTCGCGGTGAAATCGGGCATGATCCAGCCTTCGTAGATTAGAATCGTTGTGGTGCCGCTGTGGCCTACCTTCGAAGAGTTGGAGAACTTCTGAAGAAAAGGAGTGAGAGATCCCCGGAGGGGTAAGAATTACCCGAAGGCAAGGGTTTCAACCGAGCGGTACCACAAGTCGTCATCTGTAGAGCTCGTTGGTCCTCTTCTCGTTGCACTTCAAAAAAAAATTGCACTTTATTTCTATCCTTTGTCTAAAATTATCCAGGTTTTAGAAAACAGAACCACAACTTTTCAAGCAAAGGATGTCTTCTGGGTTTTATCAAAATATCGCCCAGCTGCGACTCTTTTTATTTGCTATTATTTTTCCAGAGGGTTTAGAAAATAGCTTTTGAAATGTAAGAGCAGAAAATTAGAGCTTTAGTATGAATCAAAAGGCACAAGGAACACCCCGTCACTGTGTTACATGAACACTTTTTATTGGTGAAAAAATCGAGTTTAATTGGCCATTTATTACGTCTCAAAATACATACTTGTTAACCCGTTTGAACTTAAGGCACACACAAAGATCCTAAGCGATTAAATAAAGAAAAGACTTAGAAGTTAAAATCGGGAAGTGGATAACCAAAATAAACATAATCATAGAAATAGATCTTCATAAAAATCTCCATCAGTAATGGGTCATTTTTGAGTTGATTGAGATATTTCTCGCGAAGACTCGAGTCATAAGTTGTGTGATATGTGCGACGGCCAATGATCTGAAAATTCTCGGGTTTCAAAAGTGCTATACTCAAAAGTTTTACCATAATCTGTCAACTGCCGTGGGCTTAGTTTTATAAAGTTTGTTATCTCTACGTATCTTTACGATTACGGTAACAACTATTGGATTACGGCAACAACTGGGTTACAGGCTAACGGGTTGACGTCATAGTAAACCGTTTTTATGCTGCAGAAATCTTTAAGGCTTAGGATTACTGTAGCAATTGCAATTAGAGTTGAGTTACGGTTTACGATAGACAAATCAATCTTTAAAGTACTTTCCTTCAAAGTTTTTTATTCAAAACATTAACTACCTGTTCTTTTAGTCTCTTTGTTACAGTCTTTGGCACGCCAAGCAATTCAAATTCTGTTGTCAATTGATCCAATAGTTGAGCGGTGGTCGGACGAGAATAGTGATAGAATTGGTATTCAGCATAGTGAGTTCGCAATTGGCAATACCTGAATTGGTGGTTAATCAAGAATTTATATATAATTTTGGACTTGGACGCGATTTAGACACTTTGGTTCAAAGAAAGTGATTTTGGTGTTAATAGAAAAAGAACGAGCCGGAAAAGTTAGGTTTATAGCCAAATTTCCAGAAAAATCTTTTCAGCCAATTCCTTTCTATCACCTTTCATCGAATTTTCGAATCAAAACGAGTTTTTGGAATCGGATTTTCTTGGAAACGGGTCCAATTTGGTGTAAAAAGATAGAAAAATGTATAATAAACATCTTCTATTTGAAGCAAACCGTAAGTCATTTGGTGAACTTTTCATTTATAAATAGATTTATAAAAAAGGATCCAAAGACTTATCGGCGAATCTAATATATTCTTGCATAAAGAAAAAGCTCGTAAAACTTGGCTGACTACAAAGTGGACCAAGGCAAGCAGTCTCTTCTGCTTTATATATACCGTATTCTCTCTAATAGTGGTGCACCCAGAGCGTTGCCTAAATTGCTCAAGACAAGCAGTGAGCCGTAACCCAATTACTAAGCCATAACCCAATTGCCGTATTCCCTATAATGGTAGTGCGCACTACTATTTTTTCAACCCCCTCCTGGACCGCAATACTATTAAAGAGTACACTACTATTAGAGAGAATACAGTAGTAGATCTTACGGTAAACCAATAATCTCAATGATGTTGAGCCTTACAATTATCCGTTAGACTTTAGACCACTTTAGACTTAGACTCACCAATTTTGTGGTGCGAAATGTTCACTTTCCATCCCGTATCCTGGTTTCATTCCTCGAATTGCTGGCTCATATTTTTTATATTGTGTCTCGAGGAAACATTTCAGATTATCCCCACAACCATAGCACGGAGTTCGACCAGCGAACTGAGCCGGATTATTGAGCCTTTCTCTAAAGGTTTATCGTCATTTCTCATTTCAGGAACTCTTTCTAAAGAAATAGTAAATAAACTTACTGTATGCATTTGTCCAAGAATCCAGAAATGAATCTTTCCATGGGATCCCTTGTGATCACATAATATCTCCAGAGACTCAATTGACTCTGCATTTTCTTCATTTCCACCGTTCGAGCACCGGTCATCCCAAAGAATTCGTTTTGTCGCCCACAGTGGCTAAAAATCTTTAGTATATTTTATGCATATACGCTCTTAATCTACAATTTCAACCCATTTCTCATTATCAAAAGCTAACAAGTCTTATTATCAGCTATCTTGTAGCCAAGCCAACTATAGCAATCACAAGATCAGTCATGATGCGTTAGTTAAAGATATTGTAAGTCAAGTTATTCTTTTGTGTCCTAGGGTTTGTAAGATTAGGTTAGCTTAGAACAAGCCCAAGATCATGGCCTCTGACGGCTCAGAATATTTTGTGCCAATTCTGCAGGAAAGCCAGGACGGGCAAGGCCGAAAGCCAGGCTAGGAGCAAGGGCTGACCCAGGACCTAACCGCTAGTCTGACCTAGGCTGGCTTAGTCTGGAAAAAGTGCCTTTGAAACAACTATAAGATATCTTTTATCCCTCTACAGTAAACCACCAAAGTTCTTAATATTTTAAGCCAATCTGTCTTAATATTTTGAAATGCTTGAGTGTAAGCCAGTTTCAGTTTCAGACTTCATTCCAGCGTTTTATCAGGACTAGAGACTTACATTATATTAATGCTTACAGTATTAATAAAACTATAGAAAATAGAGCACTCAATCTTTCAGTTTTGATGTCGATCTCTAAATCATAGAAGAGTTTTACGAGTTTTGATGTTGATCTCTAAATCGTTGACGAGTTTTACGAATGCACTCAAAGCGTCCGAGCTTTGCACGAATCAGCTATGTAAATACTAGTCTAACTTTTCAGATAAAAGTTATTTCCGTTCCGAGATCAACATCAAATTTTTGTGGATTATAGAATTTTGAAGCATAGAAATTGGAACAGAGAAATTGGAGAACAGAAATTGGAAGAAAAGGAAATAATGTGAATAAATGAATAAGCTTGCATATGGAATGTTTGTTTAGAAAAGGTTTTGAAAGACATGGCTTGAAAAAGAATAGTTTGCGATGCAGAAATCAATGCTTAGCCTCTGAGAGCTGTGATTTATTGATTTACAAAGGCGAACAAAAGCAATGATAGGCTTATTTTTGCTCTGAACTAGAGGTAGACACAAAATTTGGCCTGCAAGCAATCTTGCGAGCAAAAGCAGAGCTGTTCAACCAGAAACTGTAAACGAGAACAAGCCAGAGCCAGATTTTTGTAAGCAATGCTAGACTTTACAAGTAAACTCTTATCATTTACCGATAGTTCCACGTATCATTCATCATATCCTTGACACTTGTCTCATAACTCTGAATATTGAAGAGATAACACATGATCGAAGTGAGAACTGTAGAGAAATTTTTCAAAATGGCGCATGCAGCAATCCCGAAATCCGGCGCAATCTGGAACATAAAAGCAATCATTTTCAACATTATTCTTTTATATAACCTGGAAAGTCTTGATTCAACTCTGCTTCATCCCCAAACTATTGGGTTGGTGAATTGAAAACTGCGGACTATCGTCATATGTGACAGTTTGAGCACTTTCTTCAAAAGAAACTCATTTTAGTGTCAATGGAAAAGTTGTAGAGAATCAAAAATTAAGCTTATATTCAAATTTTCAGAACGACTCAAACACTGGGTTTCAAGAAAAGCCAAATTTACGAATTTTCACAAAACTTGCAACAAAACTTGCATTTTAAGCGAAACTACTAAGTGTATCTTTTTGGAAATTTGGCTATAAGCCTAATTTTTGATTCTCTACAACTTTTCTATTGACACCAAAATGGGTTTCTTTTGAAGAAAGTGCTCAAACTGGGACATCTCCAGTCCTCGATTTTTGAGTCTCACACTTGTCTCACACACAAACCAAAATCCTACTACGAAAGAAGAATCCGCAAATTGCCTGTAAAATGGGTGGAAGTCGTCAATAATAATGGAAATTATTTGGAATGAATTGGTGGTTTCATGTTGAATAAATTTTAGTTCAAAGTCCCGCAGTTTTCAATTCACCAACCCAATAGCTTTAATTTGTGTTGCTATCAAGTGAACGTGTGAACTTTCAACAATATTGCCTCTTTTTATCTAAACTTTAAGTCAAAGATCGTTCTCCTCCACGAGCCCCATGTTGCAAAACTGACTCGCCCTAAAATAAACAGCCTTGGTTGGGAACTTCTGGCACATCCCCCTACAGTCCGGACCTTGCCCCTTCTGATTACTATTTATTCTAGACCATGAGTAATAAGCTTGCGGGAGAACACTTCGATCCGGAAGAAGTAGGCAAAAATAGGCTTGAAAAGTTTTTCGATTCAAAACCAAAATCCTACTACGAAAGAGGAATCCGCAAATTGCCTTTAAAATGGGCAGAAGTCGTGAATAATAATGGAAATTATTTGGAATGAATTGATGGTTTTATGTTGAATAAATTTTAGTTTAAAGTCCGGCAGTTTTCAGTTCACCAAGGGATCAAGCTTGACATTTAGTCAGTCAAATTTTACTCGTTTAGATGAAAATTTCCCACATTTTTTAGTTAAAGATATTCTAAAAGTCTCTTTTGTCGAAATAAAAGTATTCAAGTAAACTAGCTGAATATCTTTAATCACTGTCATTTCACTCACCAAATGTCGTCCACTGTAATCAAGCAATGGTTGTAGCAAAGTGCAATTGTTTCTCTTGTAACAATACTTCTTCTCAATCTCCAAAATCTTCAGTCGAGAGTTGACAGTGCGATTGATCTAAATAAAGTTGTAATTGTTTTGATCCCCATCCTCAAACCCCATTCGACGCTCCCAATTGATCAGGTAACTTCAGTTGTTGTACTGTTTCTCTTTCTTCTCTCATTTTCTCTCCTTCTTGGTAACTCCCGCGTTCCGGAATGCCATAAAAGCCGAATAGAATAATGAATAGAGTTACACCCAAAAGGGCACCCCGTGTATAGATATGTGATCGGCTGATTATGTGCATCCTGGAAACAATTTGATTAAGTACTTAAAGATAATGATGTTTATAGGATCTGGGTACTATAAAATGCCATTTCACTGCCTAATCAAGGTATCACTACTAGAGTGCGTTTCTAAAGACTTGGGACATACGCGCCCCGCCCCTTTGCCATTGGCAATCTAACTTTAAGCTCAAATAACTTGATGTTGGGCTGCCCAATTTAAATATCCTTGGTATCATTGGATGCGCCAAGTCTTTCTCTGTCGATTAGTACAAAAACTATTTAAATTGGACAGCCCAACACCAAGAGATTTGAGCTCAAAGTTGGATTGTCAATGGCAAAACGGCGGGGCCTCACGTATAAAAGGTCCCCCAATCGCCCCGCCCCCTTTCCCCTTAGCAATCCAACTTTAAGCTCAAATTTTTTGGTGTTGGACTGTTCAATTTAAATAGTTTTTGTACCAATCAACAGAGAAAGACTTGGCGCATCCAGTGATATCAAGAATATTTGAATGGGACAACTCAACAATAAGATATTTCAGCTCAAAGCTAGATTGCCAATGGCAAAAGAAGCGGGATTGTGGGACCTTTTATACGCGCCCCGACCCTTTTGCCATTGGCTAACTTTAAACTCAAATATCTTGGTATTGAGCTGTTCAATTTAAATAGATTTTGTACCAATCAACAGAGAAAGACTTGGCGCATCCAGTGATACCAAGGATATTTAAATTGGAAAGCCCAACACCAAGAAATTTCAGCTCAAAGCTAGATTGCCAATGGCAAAAGGGACGGGCGTGTATTAAATGTTCGATAAACTAAAAGGCGAATATTTTACTAATCTAATCAGATTTTGTTTGTTCTATTTAATTTCGATCTCATTCAATTCTCGACTTGGTTCCTAATTGAAGGATTATAATTAAATAAATTGGACAAAGAAAGTTTACGATGGCTTTTTAAATGCTTATTCTTTCGAAAATGTATTACTTTCGAGAAACGAGGAGCTAATAATGATAACAATTATCAAATGACTCTGAATGGAAAATACATTCTATAAAGTATAAAACTGTTTATTATTAGTTTTGATAAATAATAATGACTTAAATATTGTAACACTCGCAGTTGTGGCTTTTCCATCAATCAACCACGAACAAGCTACAAAAATACAGTCATTTTCAAATATACACTAAGTTTAAAGCTAAAAATTGTATTTTTTTTGCTTGAAACTATATTGTTGATCTAGCTACGTAAATACTGTAATAGTACCCCACCCCCTCGTACAGTCGCGTGGTCGCAAAAGTTTTTTAGTATTTCATTTTTTTCAAAGCGCCCATACTTTCGAAAAATGCGTCTTTTGTATCAAAAAATAGCTGAGATTCAGGGCTATTTTTTGATACCTAAGCACGCATTGTAGCATAAACCAGTGTCGAGAAAAACTCGTTTTTTCGGGATTGTTGCGTAGTCTAACTTTAAACATCCCGTTCTCCGCGCTGCTTTATGCTACGATGCGCGCTTTGGTATCAAAAAATAGCTGAGATTCAGGGCTATTTTTTGATACCTAAACGCGCACTGTAGCATAAACCAGTGTCGAGAAAAACTCGCTCAAAGCTAGACTACGCAGCACTCCGCACCGCCATTATGGGGGTGGGGTACTATTACAGTATTTACGGTAAGCTCTTTATTCCATAATTTCTGGCAGTCTCTGGAATCAGAAAAATAAAATACCGTAAATACTCTAATAGAACGCCATCCCCATAATGACGGGCGTACAATCGCGTAGTCTACCTTTGAACGTCCCGTTCTCGGCGCTGGTTTATGCTACAGTATTCGTTTCGGTGTCAAAAGATAGCCCTTGAAATCTAGTATTTTTTGGTATCAAAAGTGTAGTTGGGAAAAATCTAGGGGCTGAGAAAAAAATGATTTACTAAAAAGGAAGTTAAAGTTGCGTTCTTTCTGAGGTATCTGTTCCCAGTTTCCCGAAGTGGTAATAGAGGTGATTATCAAAAAATAGCCCTGAATTTCAGCTATTTTTTGATGCCTAAGCGCGCATTGTAGCAGAAGCCAGTGTCGAGAAAAGCTTGTGCAAAGCTAGACTATGCAAGACTCCGCATCGTCATTATGGGGGTGCGGTACTATTACAGTATTTACGGTAGATAGTTTCGTGAGTTAATAAAAGCTCATAGAGCATAAAATAAAATCGGGATTTTGAAAAGCAATGAAATTTACAAACTGGTTGACTATTTCGATCATCTCATTCACAAAACTAAACGAAAACACTCAATTTTCAAATAGTTGATCGTTGGGGGTTCAAAAGGTGTCACGGAAAACACGTTTTATTGCTTGTCATTTTTTGCGCTTAACGATCAACGGGGAACAAATTTATAGTAAGAGAACAACAAGAACAGATGAAAAAACAAGGGTGGACAAAGGGGAAATCAGAGTCAAATGGGACATTTGATGGGACAAGAAATGGTGAGAAATCCAGCAAGAAATCCAACAAGAAAAGCGATCAAATTAGAATAGCAAGCTCAATCTTTGATGTCATTTTTTGAAGAAAGGATTGAGATTGTTTTTGATTTTGGTTCAAACTTTGTTGTAAGACTCAAAATTTAACAATTTCAGACTTTTTCCCACTAATAAAAGGAAATTTGACCATTCTTAAGCTATTTTTCAAAAGCTTTTAAACTAAAGTTCAGTTTTTTTCTGTGAAAAGTTGAATTTGGAAAGATTTAAAGAAGTTTTTGAAAATTCTCTGCAAAAGTCTGGCTCAAAAAAGAAAAGTCGATTTTCTTTTGTGAAAAATCTGGTGTTGATCTTTTTTCAAAGCTTTTTGAGCGTTCTTTAAAGTCTTTTTTGAGAAAAAGAAGGTATTTTGTGACTTCTTAGATGTTTAAAGAACGAAAATTTGGAATATTAAAAGATTTTGCAAGCAAAGCAAGATCAAACTTCAATCAAACTTTGGCTCTTTTCTGTCATATCCTCGTTTCGGTTTTACCCAGTCAAATTTGCATTTAAAGTATTGAAGCTGAACTTCATCCCTCATCCGAAAATCATCCGGCTAGAGTGATTTGATGGATTTACAATTGTTGGAGACGTTACAAGGCTCGCGTAATTCATTTATTGGGTTGGTGAATTCAAAACTTCGGGCTATTGTCATCTGTGACAGTTTGAGCACTTTTTTCAAAAGAAACCCATATTGGTGTCAATGGAAAAGTTGTAGAGAATCAAAAATTAAGCTTCAATCCAGATTTTCAGAACGATTCAAAAAGTGGTTTTCAAGAAATGCTAAATTTACGAATTTTCACAAAACATTTCACAAAACTTGCATTTTAAGCGAAACTACTAAGTGTATCCTTTTGAAAATTTGGCTATAAGCCTAATTTTTGATTCTCTACAACCTTTCTATTGACACCAAAATGAGTTTCTTTTGAAGAAAGTGCTCAAACTGGGACATCTCCAGTCCTCCATTTTTGAGTCTCACACTTGTCTCACACACAAACCAAAATCCTATCTAAATCGAAAGAGGAAACCGCAAATTGACTTTAAAATGGGCAGAAGTCGTCAATAATAATGGAAATTATTTGGAATGAATTGATGGTTTTATGTTGAATAAATTTTAGTTTAAAGTTCGGCAGTTTTCAATTTACCAACCCAATATTATAATCGTTTGAAAGATCGTTCTCCTCCACGACAACGCGCGCCCTCATGTTGCAAAACTGACTCGCTCTAAAATAAATAGCCTTGTTTGGGGACTTTTGGCGCATTCCCCATACAGTCCGGACCTCGCCCCTTCTGATTACTATTTATTCCGGACCATGAGTAATAAGCTTGCGGGAGAACACTTCGATCCAGAAGAAGTAGGCAAAAATTGGCTTGGAAAGTTTTTCGATTCCAAACCAAAATCCTACTACGAAAAAGGAATCCGCAAATTGCCTGTAAAATGGGCGGAAGTCGTCAATAATAATGGAAATTATTTGGAATGAATTGATGGTTTTATGTTGAATAAATTTTAGTTCAAAGTCCGGCAGTTTTCAATTCACCAACCCAATAGATCACCTATACTTCAAAAAAAAACTAACAAAATCAAGAAGTTTTTTTAGAAATATGAACAAAGTTCTCGAAAAAAAAGACAATTTTGATTCGAGTTTATGAAGAAACCTTTGAGATACGGTAGAATTTGAAAATTTTCTGAAAAAAAATCCGGCTTCCTTAATTAGTCTCAAAAGATTCAAATTGGATTTTAAAAGAAAAAGATTAGCAAATGTATAACAAAGAAAAATGAGCAGATTATTAAGAATTACAAGCTACAATGTTTTAAATTCATTCTCTTTACACATGAAACTTTTTTGTAATTCAAAGAATTTTTAGTTTTTCTAATTTCCCAATTTTACGATTTTTGATTTGAGATAGAGTTTAAACTATTTTTTTAATTGTAGAGTCTTTAAGGAAGGATTTATAGATAGATTTAGAGTAAAGATGTGAATGAATAGCTCTATCTGCATTTATATCAATAGATCAAAGAAAATTCGAAACTTTTTTTGAGCTAAACCGAACGACTCGATGCTTTTTTAACAAGCCGAAGTCAAACCCCAAAAAATCATCGATCAGACTGTTCAAATAAATGAAAGATTGCAGAAAGTAGTGATGCAAGAACAAGATGGTTTATGAAATCATTTTGTAGGATAAAAAGTTAACTTAATCTTGAAAAAGTGGGCAGATTTGGCGACTCAACTTGGCTTATGATTTGAGTTGAATGCGATTTACTTGAGCTAATCAATTCTCAACCAAAGAGATTCTCAAAAGCCTCAAAGTTCTTGAGCATTTTTTGTCTCCAACAAGACAATCATTCTCAAGGTTTTTTGCTGATTTCTTAACAGGAAATCAGCAACAAGAACCACAGATTTCTTAGCAGGAAATCAGCAACAAGAATCACAGATTTCTTAGTAGGAAATCAGCAACAAGAATCACAGATTTCTTAACAGGAAATCAGCAACAAGAATCACAGATTTCTTAACAGGAAATCAGCA